TAAGGTGGAGGGTCAGAGAAAAAGAGGAAGACCCCCAACGAGATGGATCAGCCAGGTGGCATCATTGATGGCGTCAAGTGTGGCAGCAGTAGTGAGGTTGGCCCAGGATCGGACATTTTTTCGTCCTGTTGTGCATGGGGTCGCTATGAGTCGGTTCCGACTCGATGGCACCTGACAACAACAACAATGGGCTGTTCTGTTGGAAAGTTCAAATGTGGGCTAGAGGTTCCTGAGTCTATCTCGTGTGTGCAAAGAGCCCTCAATACTCCCCAGTTAGGTATATGTAGAATCCTCTGCTTTCTTTGTTTACATTTCTTCAAAAACTTTTCATTCACATTTCTACCCAACATTCATGCTTGATTCCAAGGAAGATAGAAAGTGAATAATTAACAATGCTCTATGCTCAATTTATTCCTTTCTATGATGTTCTTCATAGGAATAAGAAGCAGTACCTATAGATGGAATGTTAAACTGGCCCTTCTTTTGGTGGTACCATGAGGGACTCTCCATATCTTTCAATAGTTCATATAAGGCAGCAAATAGGGCCACTGTCTGGACAGAATATTTGTTCTTCCTTCAACAGTGCTTTGTGAAGGATAGAAGTGTCTCAGATTCCTTAGGCATTTTCCCTGAGGGGAAGATGGAACCAGCCGTTGGGGAGCTGCTGATGAAAGGATGGACTAATCTCATTAGTGGTTCCACTCACTTTGAAGCAGAGCGAATTTACAAGGTCAGGTCCTCAAATCTGGTCAGAGGGAAGCATCCACTGTGCTAAAGAGGGTGATACTCTGGGTGCTAACCTCTGGGAGGTGCAAAACACCAGGCCCGCCAGGTCCCTTGGTCAGACTTGGCCAAGCCCTGAGTGAACACTGTCTTTTACTCCCTGGTAAAATGTGAATCCCTGTGAAGCAAACAACTCTTCAGAAATCTAAAGCATTTGTTTTTGGGCAAGGGGATTAGCTAGCTCTTGAGCCTCCTCTTCCTTCTTTCTCCTCCATGTCTTTCTCCACCTGTTTGGCCCCAGTCAGCCCTTTACCCAATCTCTGTGTACGAATCACTACCTGCTGTGGCCCACAATCACCGAATTCACTTGCTCCTTTTCCTTAAGGGTCTTCTGAATTCCTCCACACCATTGCCCCTGACTACAGTAATGTGACCCCTCCCTCTTTTACACCACCTGGTAATTTAGAAAGGTCATAGGTAGTGCTTCCTAGGCCCTATTGCATTTGGGCTGAAAGAAGAGGGGAGGAAAAGGTGAAAGGGGGTGTGTTGTGACATTATTCTTCTCTTGTGGACCAGAATATCAGTTTTAGTTTTTAAAAATAAGAGACAAGATGATAAAAGGGTACTTTCCTCATCCTGTCAGTGATTCGTGAGGTGCTAAAGGAGCTCTTGGGATAAGTATGATGCACAGTGGACTGGGAGGACTGATGATGGCTCTTGGCCTCACTTGGGACATACAGAGAGGTGCATAAGCCAAGTGACCCAGTTTCTTTTGGCTCCTCTTACCCCTGAATGACAAGCTCCAGATGCCCACCTCTCCTATGAAGGCCTTCTTCATCTAGACTTGAACATGGAGGGCGTCTCTGGTCTTGGATGGGCACCAGCGGCTCTTAGTTACATTCATGCCCCCTCTCTTCTCTCTGTCCTGTCCTGTATTCCCTTCTCTTTGCAGGTTCACTTGCTGAAGGACCAATTGGCTGCGGAGGCAGCGGCGCGGCTGGAGGCCCAGGCCCGTGTGCACCAGCTCCTACTGCAGAACAAGGACATGCTCCAGCACATCTCGCTGCTGGTCAAGCAGGTGCAGGAGCTAGAGCTGAAGCTGTCGGGACAGAATGCCAGTAAGTGATGCCCTGCCCAACCTCACCTCCCTCTGTGGAGGCGCCAGAAAACACGTGCTATTTTCCCAGCAGCCTTTCTGCTGCATTATTGGACCATTGGACTGTCCCTGGATTCCACCAGAAAACAAAGGCAGCTTTGCGTGTCCCTTCTATATACTTCATGAAATTACAGAATTTTAGGGCCCGAGGGAAACTTGGCTGCCTTCTAAACCAATGCCCAAGCTTGCAATTCAGTGTCCCTGGGGAGTTGATGCCACATATCCATTCCATTGCTTCTGAGTGGGGGCTGGAGTACCCTGCCTCCTAAGACCTTCCATTTCTCTCTCAGATGGCTTTTCCAGTAAACTGAGCACCTACTGTATGCCCTGTTCTCTGAGTTCTGTGGGAGGCAGTACACTCTTTCATAATTTATTCTTAGTCCTAGGGCTGTGTTAACGAAAATGCCAAAAATGTGTGACTCTAAAGAACAGAAATCTCTTTCTCACAGTTTTGGAAGGTAGGAGTCCAAATTCAGGGCATCTGCAGGACTATTCTGTGAGCTTTAGAGGAAGAACCTTACTTGTATTGTTCAGGTTCCATAGCTGAGGAGGTTTCTTGGTATTGTGTGACTTGTAGGAGAATCCTCATGATGTCTTCCTCCTGTAGGTAGGTATCTGTCTCTCTAACCTGAATCTAACCCACAGAGATTCCGCCTCTTAGTCTGGGACAGAGCAGGGAATTTATTTTATTTATTATTTAATCCCATCTGATTATAAAAATGCTAATCAGATGGGATTAGGTTTAGGAGTCAGTTTAGTTTGGTGGTGGTGGTATTAAGTACCGTGGATTTGGTTCCAACTCATAATGAGTTTCAGAGGCACAGGATTTCAGAGGCTGCAAATCTTTACAGGAGCAGAAAGCCTCATTTTTTTCTCCCATAGAACACCTGGTAGTTTCAAACTGCTGACGTTGAGGTTAGCAGTCCAATTCATAACCACTATGCTACCAGAGCGCTGTAAAATAAGCACTGGACCACAAGGTCAGTTTGAACCACAAGGTCAATGGTTCAAACTCACTAGCCTCTCCTTAGAAACACTATACAGGGTCGCTATCAACAAACAACAACAATTACTTTGGAATGGACTCATTAACATAAGAAAATCTTATTTCCAAATAGGATCCCATTAACAAGTACAGGAGTTAGGGTTAGGACTTCAATATATCTTTTGGAGGATACAGTCCATCTATAACACTTTGTCTGTACTATTTCACAACTCTGTAGCATGGAAAAGGCAAATAATAGTATGTGCATTTAATGGGTAAAGCAGTAATGGAGTAACTGCGGGTTCTTGGTAGAGGTTGCCTGGCTGTCAGTCTGAAACACCACCTCTGGGCTGGACCAGGAGCCCTAGCAGGTGACACATCTCCATGCCGTCCTCTTGAGCTTATTCATGGATTGCTTGAATTGTACCAGACACTGTGATCGAATCTTCCATACTTAATCTTTAATCCCTATAGTGGGAGATTTTGCTAGACAATTTTACAGATGAGGAAACAGACTAAATAACTAGCTCAAGATTACAGGACTAGCAAAGGGATAGAGTTGAAGATTCAACCCAGCTAGAATTACAAAACTAACACTTTTCCTACTGTACCAGAAGTTTCCCCAAACTATCCTGAGATTTAAAAAATTTTTGTAAGTGCATATTCCTGGATCTAACCCACAGAGATTCCGCCTCTTGGTCTGGGACAGAGCAGGGAATATATTTTATTTCAATGGATTGGGAAGTACCACACTTCACCACACTGCAGCCTCTCAGGACATTCCAGCTGTTTCTTTATTGCAACCCTGGTCTAGTCTAATTAATGCTGATTTACAGGGTTATACTAAAGGTAATCTCAAGCTTTTAACACAACTCTCTCAATTTGTGGGAGTGCTGTGGCTCTGTAGGACAGGCACTAGATTGCTAACTGTATAGTCAGCAGTTTGAGCCCATCAACTGCTCCACAGGAGAAAGAAGATGAGGCTTTCTGCTCCCACAGATTTACAGTCTTGGAAATCCTATATAGGGTCACTATGAGTCAGAACCAACTCAATGGCACTTAACAACTCACAGTTTGTAGGTTTCTATTACCATAAACTTCATTTAGGGCATTCGCTGGCCTCCCCAAATCCCCATTGCCCATCATATTCCCAGAGCTGGTAAGGAGTGGCACCCTCTGCATTCAGCCTCCAGTGAATACAACTGGTCTGTATACACAGCTATTAGCTTATGGGACCCTGGTGACTGCTAGCCGGAAGGTCAGCAGTTTGAATCTACTAGTGTCTCTGTAGGAGAAAAGACCCTATAAGAGACCCCATAAAAATTATCTGCTCCCATAAAGATTACAGCCTGGGAAACCCTATGCATATAGGGTCTTTATAAATCAGAATTGACTCAGTGGCACACAGTGCCACCACAACAAAGCTACTCGTGTAGGTTCCTGAGTGGTACAGACAGTAAAGTGCTTGGCTATTAACTGAAATACTGTTGGTTTGAACCCAACTTGAGAGGCCTTGGAAGAAAGATCTGGCAATCTACTTCTGAACAGTCAGATCTTGAAAACCTTGTGGAGCAGTTCTGCTCTGAAACACACGGGGTCTCTGTGAGTCAAAATCAACTGGATGGTAACTGGTAAAAGGTAAAGCAGCTTTTTAAAACGCTGCCTAGTAATTCACTTGATGCTCCACAAGAAGTTAATGGGACAATTATCAGCCTAATTCCCAAGTCTCTTGCCTATCTTCTAGGATAGATCAGTCCTCATCCACCCACTGCCCATTAAGGTTCATATCATTCCCAGACTGATCCCTTACAAAAGAGACAGCTGTGACATAATAGAATACTGAAAATAGTTTATTAAAAGTCAAAATAGCTTATTAAAACATATTTTTTCTCAGACCAGTTTGAATGCTGTTTCAGTAAATTGCATCTTATCCTTATGCAAAAAATCACTCCCCATTGCATCTTCTGAGCTCCTGAATATAGTTTTTTTTTTTCTTTTAGTGAAAAATATATACAGCCAAACATATGTCCATTCAACAATTTTTACATGTACAATTCAGCAATGTTGGTTATAGTCTTCACACTGTGTCATCCTTCTTGCTTTCTCTTCCCAAATTATTTCATTACTGTTCACTTAGACTCACTGCTCCTTATACATGTCTTATGTCCCTATATGTCTGTACGTCTCCTTATATGGCTCTTCTGTGTCTTCTTATATCATCTTATCTATATGATTCTTTTTTAGCTCTGCAGCCTTAGTATGGTTTGAGCATATGAGGAAAAAACTAAAGTGCATCTTCAGAGTCTGACAGATTTTTTTTTTTTTCCGTTGAAGTCATGTGGTTATTGTTGAGCATATATATATATACAGCAAAACACATCCATTCAACATGTGTCATTTAGTGAGATTAATTACATTCTTTGAGTTGTGTGACCATTCTGACCCTCCTAAGGCACTGGACTGCACAGTTGGTTTGAAACGCAAGGTTGGAGGTTCGAGCTCCCCAGCCACTCCTCAGAAACACTATATACATGGTCACTGTGAGTTGTAAGTGACTCAGAGACACTTACCAGCAACATTTCCTGCATCCCACTCAGCCTGTACCTGCTAAAGCTGTTGTAATACTCATGCTTGCCTGCTAAGGTTCCTGTCTAATCTTTAGAATTCCTTTTGTCAATTTGATCCCATATAGCTAATTCTTAAAGGAGCATCATACTGAAGCTGAAGGAACCATTTTTGATTGTGATACTCAGGTAACTCATCAGCAGGTGGTGGCTGTTAAGAGAAAACTCAGTTAAAGTAGATTCAAATTGCACCTCCTGTCCTGGTTGTGGTGCGGTGGGTTAAATGTGCTGGACTGTAAAGTTGGTTTGAATCAGCTGCTCCTCAGAAACCCTAGACATACCCAAATCATTGAACTTCTCAGAATTCATTTGTTTCACATGCAAATGGAAACAGTGATAATAATTCCTACGTGCCGAGGCACTGGGAGAGCAAAATCTGTAAAAAGCGCCGAGTTCAATGCTTGGTGCATAAAGTAACATGTGATGAACATGAAAAATAATAACACAACTCTGTAGCAAGTTCTGAATGTTGGGCTGCACAGCTGAGACGCATCCTTTCTCTAGGGCGTCTCCTGCCCTGTACGAAGAGGGTGAAGTGTTAGGAGATGCCCTGACATTGATCAGGGGCTGACAGAGGGCTTGCCAAACCAACCACCTCTCCTAACACTGGCCCCTCACTTTTTTCTCCCCTTCTAGTGGGCTCCCAGGACAGCCTGCTGGAGATCACCTTCCGCTCTGGAGCCCTGCCTGTACTCTGCGACCCCACGACCCCTAAGCCAGAGGACCTGCACTCACCACCACGTGGCGCGGGCTTGGCTGACTTTGCCCACCCCGCGGGCAGCCCTTTAGGTAGGCGCGACTGCTTGGTGAAGCTGGAGTGCTTCCGCTTTATCCAGCCCGAGGACACCCCGCTCCCCACGCAGGGCGAGCCGCTCCTGGGCGGCCTGGAGCTCATCAAGTTCAGAGAGTCGGGCATCGCCTCGGAGTACGAGTCCAACACGGACGAGAGCGAGGAGCGCGACTCATGGTCTCAGGAAGAGCTGCCTCGCCTGCTGAATGTCCTGCAGAGGCAGGAGCTGGGCGATAGCCTGGATGATGAAATTGCCGTGTAGGTGCCGCGGGGCGAGGAGGAGATGGAGAAGGAGGAGGCCGAAGCGGTGTCCAGGGGCCATGTGTGGCTGCGGCCCTGGTAGGGGGTTGCGTAGCTAAGCACACTGATAAGGAAGGATACAAGGGCCCGGGAGAGTGTACGGTTCCAGAAATGGATAAGGATTTTTCTTTGGAGGGTAAAGTGGAGAAGAAATTGAATTCCCAGAGGTGGACCAACTCCTCTCTTATATTTGTAATTAAAGGAGAGGCAAGGCCTTCCAGATCCCCTGACTTTGAGAAGGGGCCCCTCTCCAGGGCCAACAAGCTGCTAAAGGACCTATCTGCCTGCTGCATTATCAGAATTCTCTGTTGTGTGTGATACCCTAGTAGCCCCCTTGCCTTCCTATCTCTGTGATTCCAACTATGAAGGGAAGCCATCAGTACCTTCTCAGGTACTTTATTTTTGGATATCAGATGCTATGAGTTGCCTAACCTGCCCGACTATTGTGGGAAGGGATTCCTTCTCTAGGTCTTTGCCAAGGTTGATGATGTTGAATGTGCTGGGCACTGAAGGACAGGCTATTCCATCTCTTGTGAGCATGGAATTGGCATGTGTATCACACTGGATAAGCTATTAGATGAATCGGGTTTAAAAGTTTTCCCTAGTTGGATGTCCAGGTCACTGGATAGCCTCTCCTTGGGTGTGATTCTTCAGTATGGGAGCCCTGTCCACCGCTTGCCTGAAAGCCCAGCTCACTAAATAAATGGAGGCTTGGAAGCTGTTGTCCCTTCATCTTTCCTGTGTCCCACCTCAGGGGCTGTACCCGCTAAAGCTGCTGTAGCACTCACTCTTGCCTCTATGAAAGCCTCAGAGCCCAGCCTTAGCTGGAGGCCAGCCTTACCTCTTGACCTGTACCCTCCACTGTGCAGTGGTGGTCAGTTTTTACTACAAAAAAAAAAAAAAAAATGGACATGGGCTGGTAGCTGAGACTCTTTTATCTGCTCTTCAGAATCACTGCCACTTAGGTCAGAGTCACCTTTGACCTTCTCTGTGGGTGCATGCCCACCTATAGCAAGTGCCATGTGCAATTCTTTGGTCCTTTATGATCTAGACCTGGCCTAGAGATCACCCCTCAGTACATCAGGCAGACTGGGACAGAGAGGACAGTACTTTTTGCTCCAGGAAAGCCATAAGTGGCTGAATACAGTTTCAAACATGCCTGAAGAGAGAGCTGAGACATGTTAGAAAGTATGTTCAGGAAAGTAAGTCTTTGTCCTTGACAAGAAGTTATAGTACCCCAGTATTATTTGAGGGTCAATTAGTAAAATTTGGTTCTCCCCAAATGGAACTTTTCACCTTCACTTTGCTTTATAATTTATATAAATGACAATGCAACTTTTATGCCACAGCTAGATTTCTTCTAGACCAGAAAGTCCAGATTAGAAAAATACCACTGTATGCAAGCCTTCCTTGGGGATTAGTGCACCAGGTGTTGTGAACCTAGGTATAGTGTGGTGTGTGTGTGTGTGTACACGTGTGAAGGAAGGGCTGTATGTAGGTTTGTGAGAAGTGACCTAAGAGAATGGGAATCTCCAGTGTTTAACTCAGAAATTTCGATTATTTTCTGATATGCATTTAAAGGGGTTGTTCTGTTTTATTTTCTGACTTCCCCTTGGAAGGTAGTCCAGATAAGTAAGGAAAGGAAGGACCGAGAAATTGAGATGCGCAAAACTAAACCAGCAAGTGTCAAGAATCCATTTTGAGTGAGGCTGTCTAGTTTACATAATTTTAACCCAGAAGTTCCTTGCATCTGGGACCTCTTAAATCATTAGACTGTCCATTGTCTGGGGACTTGGGAGGACTGGGTTCTGATCTACAGCAGGAGTTGAGGATGAAGCCAGAGGCTAATAAATTAGGTATGTGGTGGGATGGGCAAGACTGGGGGGAGGGCAAAGAAGGGGGATAGTTTCTAAAATTATCTTGAAAAACTGGGGAAAGACACGAAGAAAGGAAATGAAGACGAGAGACTGGTTATCCATTATCTTGGGATACTCCATGGTGGTTTTGTCCTGCCATCCTTTCTCTTGTTCAGTTCCTCCCCGGAACACTGGCTCATGGGTGGGCATAAGTGTGGCCCAAACTAGTACACACTCAGAGAGTGGGCTACAAATGTCACCCTCCATCAAAGCCAACTGGGCAGAAAAGGGAGCGTTGCAGACCGAATTTCACCTGTCCTCCTCTTCCTCTACTCTTGCTTTGCTAACTCAACTCTCGCCTTCCCCCTTTTCCACCTGCCACTCTGCCCTATGTGGAGGACAACTGGACACCAGACACACTTACCTTCTTAGGGACAAAAGCTCTGAGCCTGCCAGCCTGCCCCAAGGGCTACAGACTCTCGAGCACATGAGACTCTTGCAGATGCAGAGCCACAGGAGAATTTCTCTGCCTAGGATGGACTGTACATTGGAATTGAAAATTATATTCCTTCTATTCCTGCTTATACTGATGCTATCCGTAAAGCCTCTCCACAGCCTCACTTCTATCCGCTGTCCCTTCTTAGGGTTGTATTCCTTTCATTTGCTCTTTGCCTGACTGCTTTCTCCCATCCCCACCCTACAGCCCCTCTTTTCCTCAAACTGTTGTGTCATTAACCCTGTTGCATCAATTCTCTGGGAAAAGATTCTGTTAATGTAAGTGCACTTACTCCCTGGATGTTGTCACTAGTCTAGTGGCTTTTGCTAAATAAACCTTTCTTATTTCTAAAAGCTTTCCTATGGTCTTTTCTTATTTCTTGTTCTCTAGTCTACCTGCTCCTTCACTCCCTGCACATCTCCACTCCCCTTTCCAAGTCAGGTGGCATCAGCTCTTTGACAAGTGGTCTCCCAGCATATGCTGCTTAGAATTTGCATGCCCCCTGAAGGACCAGAACAGCCTCCCCACACTCACCTGGAAAGGAGTATGTTATTGCAACAGAGCTCAGAAGAGAAGGCAGGATTCTGGGAGAAAAGAAAATCTAAAGAAATAAGGAGCTGCAGGTTCTAGTGAAAACCTACATAATGGAAACCGGATTACAGGGCAGGAACTATTAGCTGTTTTAAAGGTAGAGTTTTTAAACCTTCTAAGGTCTGAAGGGAGTCCTAGTGTAGCGCTGTGGGCTAATGCACTGGACTGCAAAGTCGTTTGAACCACAAGGTCAGTGGTTCAAGCTCAACAACTGCTCCTTGGAAACCCTATACAGACAGGGTCGCTATGGGTCGGAAAGGACTCAACAGCACTTAACAACAATAGCAAGGTATGAAGAGCGTTTGGGAGTCAGACAAACCCGGATCATACTCCCTCTCTGCCTTATCTGACTAAGTGAACTGAATTGGGCCTTAGTTTTCTCATCTGTAAAATGATAATAACAAAAATGATTCTGAAGAGTGACTAAGATTACATTTTCAAAGTTCCCAGCAGAGTATTTGGTGGCCATCCAGAGCACAATTCAGTTTACCTTTAGTTAGTTGTAAAGAGGCTATGCCAGCCTGTTGCTGGTCAATCCAGTCATTTAAGGGTGCTTTTTTTCTGCTGAGCTGAAGTTTCGCTCCAAACTCTGTATTGGGATAGTTACTGGGCTAATAAAGGCATAGTCATGTGAAATGTGGAGAAACCTGTCCTTAGGGAGAAAACGAAATGCCAGGCAACAACTAGTATGTTTATTAACAAGAAGAGTTAATATATGACCAGTAGAGAACCTTCCACCTCACCTATAGGCCAACCATTGTGGAAGGCAGGAGACACTCCCCTGAGTGTTAGTGTGTTTCCTATTAATGCAGTTCCAGGCCTGTGTTCCCAATGCCCTGGAGGAGGGAACATGGGCCCGGAGAGGATGCCCAACAAGTTTAGGAGCTGATTCCTGTCCTGGTCCTCCTCAGACTGTGATGGAACCCTGAGTGGCCTCCTCCCCCACCCCCACCATGTTCCCCTTCTAGTATTTGCTCACGAACCCCAGCAAGGGATACTTCAAGGAGGACATCCACATGTGTCAGACTTGTGTAAGGGTTTGGGTAGCAGTTCCATTCAAGGAAATGGTAGCTCAGTGTGAAGACGAAAAAGACTTGCTTCCTTAGAGACGGAGCCCTGGAGGTGACATTAGGGCTGCCTGTGTAGATACCAGCCCCCACCCCGCCCCTCTGCCCACTGGTCATCATAACCATCCTGCAGGTTTTAGCTCTAGACCCAGCTAAAGCCAGCCAGTCAGTTACACTCACCATCTCTATGGTTGGTTAGTGGAGATAAGGGATGGATAGGTAGGTGCAGAGCAAGAGGGTGGGGGGTATTCATCCAGATATGATAGGATGAGATTTTAACCCAGCCTGCCTCACAGTCTGTGAGCAATAAAAGAACCACAAGTGATAGTTAGCCACACAATTACACGTTGAAGCAGCTCTGCTAAACCTTAGTGTGAGACTCCAAGAAGAGTTCATATATGACCTCTGGAGAACCTTCCACCTCACCTATAGGCCAACCAGTGTGGAAGGCAGGAGACACTCCATGGCAACAGAGAGGGGTAGTGTTCAGGGTCCCTAAAAGGAAATGCCCCACTATCCTGAAAGGATTTACTGAGTCACTGAGTGGTGAAATGCGAGATCAAGAAGGCCCCCCCAAAATACGACTGCCAAGCATCTAGCTCTTCTTCTATTAACCACAAAATGGGAAAAGCATGTCTTCACTGCATCCCTCCTTGAAGCCCAGCCCCCCTTCCAGAGTGGAGCTGGCTTTGAGGTCAATGATGTCTGCGAACACATGACTTGGTAATAGGAAGCAGTACGTTCGTGTTAACAGGCCCATTTTGATATGACTCAAAGTGACTATGTAAAACTATCACCTGGATCAAAACTTCTGCAAGAGATTCCTCCTTGTAAGTGACTGGCCATGGTGTTTGCAGTGGGAAGAAGCAGTTATATTTGCCTCATATACATGAGGGTGTATTGCACACACACTCCCATATGTCTCTCAGAAGGTTGTATATGCAAGGGGACTTTCAAATTGCACAGAGATTCTTGGCATCCAACCCCTCCTCTCTTCAGTGTGCGTCCACACCCGGTATGGGGCAAGGACCGAATGTAGAGGGACCAACAAGAATGTCAGGGCCCTAGAGCAGTGGTTCTCAAACTGCAGCTTCATCAGTTACCTGGAGGACTAGTTGATGTAGTTACAATGCAGATTGCTGGCTCCGCTCCCAAAGTTTCTGATTTACTGAGGCCTGAGAATTCCATTTCTGACACGTTCCCAGGGGATACTGATGCTGCTAGTCTGGGAACCTCACTTTAAGAACCACTGTCTTCAGGCACTGTCTTTTTAAAAATGAGAACCAGGGAGGTGGGTCTGGTGTTGCTAGGCAACTGCTAGGTAAGGGAAGTGGGATGAAGAGCCTGCAATGGGAAGAGCAGCAGGTGGTACAGGGTGACCTCAGACTTGACCAAAGGCTGTGACTAACTTTGATTTATTGGCATCTCTCTGGGCACATAAATAGGCTTTGTGCCCTATTTACCTGAGGTGTCTACCAACTAAGCAGCTGCCGCCATTCACAAGGACTACTTTGAGGCTGGGCAGCTACCTGAAAGCCTGTCCCCGGGCTGCGCCTTTTGCTCCTTGCCCCAGAGGGTTTTGAGCTTTCGGTAGTACACCTTGCAGCTGAAGCCCTCCTTGAAGCCCCCCTTGATATGGCTCTTCAGCGAGTGCAGCGTGGGGTACATGCGACAGCAAGCCACACATTTATAGCCGTTCTGCTGGGCTGGGTGCCACTTGGAGGCCATCAGGATGTCCTGGGATGTAATGTAGTCTTTGGAGTCTAGGCCATGCCTGGATTTCTTGGTGGTCTCTCGAGGGCAGATGTTCTCTGGGGAGGAGGAGGAGGAGGAGCAAACACTCTCAGCTATGTCCTCAGCAAGGTAGCTGTCCCCTCTGCCCACATCCCGCTGCACCTCTGGCAAGTTGTAAGCCTCCAGGTGGCTCTCCTTGTCCGTGCATACAAAATAGCTGTATGGGGAGAACCAGGGCCTGTAGATGGTGCAGTTCCGCCTCAGCTGCTCCCCGCTCTGGGTGTCCCCTACTGTGCAGTCTGCAAAGTAAAAGGGCTGGAGTTGAGCCTCCCAAGTCGGGCAGGAAGCAGTGGGGCCTGGCGTTGCTGGAAGTCAAGGCGGAGGTGCAAAAAGGCAGGAAGGCAAGTAGTTAGCATGTCTGATTCCTTTAGCCCCACCTTGGTTAGCACCAGGTGAAAGATGGGGTGGGGAGTGCAGTCTAAGGCATTGGTTCTTGCTGCTTTCTTTTTCTATTGGCACAAATGGCAGTTCCCTCCCTAGACAATAGAGGCCTCTTTGAATCACTGAACTTTGGAATTTGTCATGTGCTTCCCTCCCTGGGGCCTCTGGTGGCACTGTAGGATAAGCACTGGACTGCTCCACAAGGTTGGCAGTTCAAACCCACCAGCCACTCTGAGAAAGAGACAGATGACGTTTTCTGCTCTCAAAGATTTACAGTCTCGGAAACTTTAAACAGGGTCGCTGTAAGTCAGAATCAACTGAATAGCAATAAACTGGTGGGTTTGCTACCTGGGAAACTCTAGGTACTGCAAACACTTGCCTGCTAACTGCAAGGCTGAAGTCCTCCCAGATGCATTGAAAGAAAGACCTGGTGAATGGAGCACAGTTCTAATCAGATGCACACAGGATCGCCTGTGTTGGAATCTCCATGGCAACTTGTCTGATCCTACCTTGCCCATAAGGATGGGCATGGTCAGGTGATTAGAGGGAAAGCTGGACAGTCCATCTTTGCGTCATTGTTGTCCAGTTGTGACTACTTTGACTGCTTCACTGCCCAGCTTCCTTTAATAGCCCACTCAGCCAGAAACTGTCCCTACATTGTTGTTGTTGTTATGTGCCGTGGAGTCGGTTCCGACTCATAGCGACCCTGTACAGCGACCCTCATCTTTCTCCCGCGTAACAGCTGGTAGTTTCGAACTGCTGACCTTTCGGTTCACAGCGCGATTCGTAACCACTACGATACCAGAGACCACTTGGGTAATGAGGGAAGAGAGAGGCAAGAGGCCTCCACAGAGCCTTATGGGGTCAGATGGAAGCAGACGCAGCACATGCTTATCTGACTTTTGCTTACTCTTCCCCTTAAGGGAGCAGCCCTGTCCATCCCAGCTTGTCGTATGTGGGTGTCCAGAGTCCAGAAGGCCTCACCTGGCGAGAGCGCCGTGTTAGGCATCCTGTCCCGGAGAACGCTGCTTTGGTACTGGGGTGGCAGGGCCTGAGCTGGGCTGGATGCCTCAGCAGGTACCGCAGTCTTTGTAATGTCTGGTTTACAGAAGAAACACTCCAGTGAGCTGAGCAAAGTTAAGAGTCCTCTTCTTGGGATTCCCCATGACATACCTCCCTAGAGACTCAATCTCAGGACTTCAAAACCTCTTAAAACCAAAGCACAGTAGTGTGCTTTCTTAGACCCAGTTAGGCATCCTGGGGAATTCCAAATGGGTCCGGGGAAGAGGAGAATCTTAAGACATGGCCCAGATGACACCTCTCTGCCTAACCCCTCCCCTGAGCCTCCTGCAGCTCACCAAAAGGGTGACTTCACTCTGTATTGCAGACCTCTGGGTGACCTGGGACCCAGGGTTCAGTGAGGATGTTCTGGTTATTGATGCATATTTTACATGGTCCCTTTAAGGATGAGCAGCCTGCTTATCCAGTTGATGCATCTCACACCCACAGCCAGAGAGGGTTCCGCTGGGCCCTAACTGCCTGCCCACCCCTGGAGTGCCAACTAACACTTGCATAAAAGCGGGCCTGCTTCAAATCCCAGAGCAGTAGCGCTCAGTTTGTAGCGTTTATCAATTAGGAGCGTAGAGGCATATGGATGTTTGAGAGAATTACTCGATGGAGCAGTATTTCTCAAGTGTTAGTGTTCATAAGAATCACCTGGGGATCTTGTTAAAAATGCAGATTCTGATCCAGTGGGCCTAGGGTCTAGATTAGGCCAGAGATTACGCATTTCTAGCAAGCTCCTGATATGGTGCTGTAGGATAAGTGCTGGACTGCTAACTGCAAGGTCGGTGATTCAAACCCACCAGCCACTCATCGGAAACCCTATATAGGGTCACTATGAGTCAGAAGCAACTAAACAGCACTTAACTCAATAGAACAGCAAGCGCCCAAGTGCTGCTGATGTTGCAGGTCCACAGACCATATTTCGAATAGCATCCATACTCCACATCCCACTAGAGTTCTAAATGATTGTTGATTGTTGTTGTTGTTGTTGTTATGTGCCGTGGAGTCGGTTCCAGCTCATAGCGACCCTGTACAGGGTTTATGAGGCTGTAAATCTTTACTGGAGCAGAAAGCCTCATCTTTCTCCCACGGAGCAGCTGGTAGTTTCGAACTGCTGACCTTGCAGTTCACAGCCCGATTCATAACCACTACGCTATCAGGGCTCCTTTAGGCTGTTAAAAATGAAACAATGATAAAGGCAACTCCTGCTTCTCTAAGCAAGTCCTAAGAGCACTGAACTTCATTCTATACCGTGCTCCTCAGTTTCCCAGCTTCTTCTGTTCTTATTGATGACTTAAGAAGTCTCCATCTTACCTGAAACCAGCACATAATCCTTAGGAATACCAACTGCCACCTTGAGATCTTGTGTAGATTCTAGGGGATGTAAACTTGGGCAACAAATGTTTCCACCATTTTTCCCTTGCTGGAGATTAGTAGACAGCAGAAACCACTTACCACAAATGAAGTACTTTGAAAAGTTTTTGTGTCCCCCAATGTGTTATTTGACTTTCTCACTAAATCATGGTCCTCAAGTACTCAAGTAAAAGCTTCAGAAGTAAATCACATCCTTGTGGGCCTAGTGGCCCCAGAGTTTTTACCTGGTAAACTGGTGGCACGGGAGGATATAATGTCAGGGAAAGTGCTCATGGCTGAGGAGGAGATTCGTAGTCCAGAAATGCTGAGGAGTGAGAAGTTCTCCATGTTCTGAATACTTTAGTGTTTGAAGAGTGTGGATCTTTAGTGTTTGAAGAGTGTGGATCTGACTACTTTAGTGTTTGAAGAGTGTGGTCGTCCAGACGATAAGCATTCTGAGCCCAGTTGACATCATAAGGTCACATGATTCCACTCACCAGCTAGACTGCTTCTTTAAAAAATGGATGGAATCGATCGCAAGGCAAGACTAACATTGCTTAGGTTTCCTGCGTGGCTATTCCTCAGTGACCTTCCCTGACTGAGAAGACCAGAGAGAAGGAAGAAGGTAGCAGAGGGGCAGTACAGTGATATTGTTTGCCCTACCTTAACTTCTCTGTGTAGTACCTGCCACCACCCCTCAGCACATTCCTGTCTGAATGACCCTCTTCTCTTTCCTTTGCCTAACCCCCACCAAGTACTTTTTTTAATGTTTTCATTTTTGGTGTGGGGTTGATTTCTTACATTTTATTTGGAAGTAATTTCAAACTTAGGAAAAGAAAGTAAGTACAAGGTCCATCCACATACCATGTATCCGTATTTACATATCATTAACATTTTATCTCATCGGCTTGGATTTCTCAGTTCTTTCCCTCTGTGAGCATGTATGTGTCCATGATTATTTTTTTTCTGAACTCTTTGAAGGTAAGTTACTAATACCCTGACCCTTTTTTCCCAAATACTACACTGTATTTTCTTAAGAATAGGTAGGAGGCATTGTTTTAAATGGTCAGTGTTATCTATTTGGGGGAAGTTGCTAAGTATGGGAAACTTGTTATTGTTTTTGTTAAGAGCTGTCAAGTTGGTTCTGGCTTGTGTTCTTCTTGTTAAGTCCCATTGAGCTGGGTTCAACTCACTGCAACCCTGTATACGGTTTCCAGGGAGCAACTGGTGAATTTGAACCTCCAGTCTTGTGGTTATCAGTCAATGTTTATCCTACAGCGCCACACCAAGCCTCATAGCAACTCTGTGTAGGGTTTCTGAGGAGTGGATGCTGGGTTTGACCCACCAACCTTCCAGTTAGCAGTCCAGTGCTTATCCTCCAGCACTATTCAATACTATTTTACTCAAGTAAGTTAAGATCAGTTTTCTGGTGAGATGGAGGACTCCAGAGAAGCAGGAGTTGCCTATATCTTTGGTTCACATTTGTCATTTGTAACAGCCTAGCATACCAGTGGACTATGGTGTAAGGGTGGAAGATAAGATAAGCAGAAAGTACCCTGTTCTGGTTCCCCTGTCAGTGGTCTCAGTCTATGCTGTGCAGCAGCAGGGGTGGGAAGTGTATGTGAGAGTGTGTGTCCACTTGCACGCACAAGAGTCCTGGTAGTCTTCCTGACTATATTTAGTGCTAGAACTTAAAGCATTTGACTGTGGTGAGCACAATACCCCTTGTGTTCCTGCCTCGTTTCCTGGCATTTTCATTATCTAGTGCTGCTATGAAGGAGACCTGGTAGCATTCTGGATTGTATATTGGGCTGCTAACTTCAAGGTAAGTAGTTCACATCCAACAGCCACTCCTCAGAAGGATGATTCTTTCTGCTTCCATAAAGATTTACAGCTTCAGAAACCCTTTACAGGGTCAATGAGAGCTGGAACTGATTCCACGGCACATAACCACCACCATCACCATACTGCAGTGGAGTCCTGGTGAGGCACTCTAGGATCAGCACTGGACTTCTAACTACAGGGTCGGCAGTTCAAACCCACCAGCCGCTCCTCAGAAACCCTACATAGGGTCTCTATGAGTCAGAATCGACTTGATGGCACATAACAAAAACAACAACATAGTGCTGAGATAACAGAAATGACACAAACCGGAATCTGAATTTCGGGTGCTAACTTTCTGTGTTGGCTCTGGAGAAAGAAGGGCCTCCTCTCTTTCGAACTGCTGTTCCTGGGGGATCTGTATATGGTGAGGCATCCGTCTTCCCTATCTCTGCTTGTTCACTTAATCTCTTTTATATCTCAAAAAGCGTCCTAGTGTGGCGCTGTGGGTTATTGCACTGGACTGCAAGGTCTGTTTGAACAGCAAGGTCAGCAGTTCAAGCTCACCAGTTGCTCCTCAGAAACTCTATACAATGTTGCTATGAGTCAGAACCGACTCAATGGCACTTAACAACAACAACACATCTCAAAAGGTAGTCCTGGTGTAGCACTGCAGGTAAATGCAAGGCCATTTTGAACTGCAAGGCAAATTTGAACTGCAAGGTTGGCAGTTCAAGCTCACCAGCTACTCTTTGGAAACCCTATACAGGGTCAAAATGTATCAGAAACAACTTGACAACACTTACCAACAACATCTCAAAAGAGATTGACTTAAAACACACCCTACACTCCTGGTGTGGCGCTGTGGGCTGCAAAGTCATTTGAACTGCGAGGTCGGTGGTTCAAGCTCACCAGCTGCTCCTTGGAAGCTCCATACAAGGTCGCTATGGGTCAGAATCCACTCAACTGGCATTTAACAACAACAACACTAATTCTGTCTCATGAACATAACAAAACTGATTCCAAACTGGGATTATAACTACAGGTATAGGGATTAGGATTTGCAACACATATTTTGGGGAATCAGAATTCAATCCACAACACCTCGCTTGGAACATTAGAACAAGTTGGCAAGTAAACTTTAAGGCTGCATGTTTTGGCATCTTTAAAGGTATTGGTCCCTTCATTTAGGGAAACATGGTATAGACAAAGATCATGGGTCTAGGAATCACTGTGAATTCTAACCCTGCTCTTCCATTGGTAGCATGTGTGATAATGGTCAGATTTCTCTGCCACTTGGTTATTCCATTTTATTGATTTAGACGGTTGGAGTGGATGAATGCATTCCTCTTCCCAAACCTAGTGATTTCCATGAGGGTAATAGCGTCCTGGTGTGACACTGTGGGTTAATGCACGAGACTGCAAAGCTGTTTGAACTGCAAGGTCAGTGGTTCAAACTCACCAGCTGCTCCTCAGAAACCCTGTACAGGGTCACTATGGGTCGGAATCGACTTGATGGCACTTAACAACAACAATAGTATAGTATGAGTGTGCTGAGTGGCCCTAGAGGACTTAGTCTTCCCTTCTGCCTTAACCCATCACATTTCTCTGACAACCAGGTACTTCATATATTTAATGTGAAGAGGGTTTAAGTTACTGGGGAATATATAGGTGGCTAAGTCTTTCAACAGACCGATTTAATTTTGTTGAAAAGTTTGTGGGAGCCTCTTGTTTCCAGGGTTGTTACACTCCTGGTAACAGGATGCTTTATCCTCTCAGTACGTTGTTGCTGTAGGTTGTTGCTGTAGCCCAGGCATGAGCTAACACTCTCACATGGTTGGTCACTACATAACATGTGTGTCTCTCTCTCCTTTGTTTCCCATCTGCTTTCCGAGCCCCTTTCTCAGTCAGGTAAGACACCCTCTTTCTTGTGGCTGACTATACCCCAGAAGCTCCCCTCTGCTTGGGTATGTGCATGCTCAGGGTGCTGATGGGTCCAATCATCTTTCTCTCCCTCATCTCCATTATTTTCTGAAGCACCAAGCCTCTAGACCTGAAGAAGGGCAAGGGCCGAGTTTGGGGGTCATTAGTATTATAAACAGGAAAGGGCTCATTATGTATCCCTGAGATATGGGGGGGGGGGTGTAGGTGAAAGAAGCCCCAGCTTGGGAAGAAGGTCAGTTTCTCTTAATTTGAACTTAATAGCTCCTGGGGACCAGCCCTATAGGGGAGTTTTTGGAGTGTTTTTGTAAATGGAAAGAAAAAAAAACACTTGAGAATAGTTTCCCTAAAATGTCAGCCTATGATGCAATCAATTTTAAGCATTTGTCTAAAAGTCAGTCCAATTAAACTAATTTATCAGAAGCTTACAAGGCCATTTGCTAGGCACTTGAGAAGCTAAAAACCACTTAAGATGCTACTTGCCCTCAAGGAACCAACCATTTTACCATAGCAAGAAAGGTATATTTACCAGGGAGATTTAGAGAACTGTAGAAGAGAGTATATAATGGGCTATCCGTAGATTAATTAAGAAATCAGTATATTTTATAGAGGATAAGAGCAAAAAGTACAAAAACCCAAAATGATGCATAATTCAAAAATTCATTGTTTGTTTGAGTGTTTTTTTTAATAATAATAATAGGACTACACAATCTAGATACCACTTTGATCAGTGGTTTTGGTACATACACTTTTAAAAATGCATGTGCCTGTTCTGAATATCCACTTTAAACCAATAAGGAAACAGCAGCATAAATATCTGAGCCAAGAAACGATGGGGTATTTGTCTACCCCAGTGTACCTCTCTGGAATATTTGCCCTGGTTCCATGGTAACTCAAGTACTTTCTGGGAGAAAAAAATCAGTGTTTTTTGTATTCTCTGCTAGCTTGAACGTTTCATGATTAAAGAAGAATGAGAAGATGGGATAGGTGCATTATACAAAAGTAAATGATGAAGCAAGAGGCACTATTAAAGTGAATAATCAGGAGTTGATGACTCTGTTGTGAGGCTGGATGGGAATTCTTGCTCAGGTGGTGCATTGAATCAGTAAGCCCTGCCCTCTGTCCCCTGAGATGCTCTCATTAGAGTTCCCTGACCAGCCTCCCTGCAGTGGTACTTGAACCTGCTCATAGTAAAGACCACGGGACTCATTCACAGAGAGAGCTTTTCACTTCTTTTCCCTCAGCTTCCTCCTTTCTGTCCAGAGACCCTTAGAATATGGCTAAGTAGCTGACCCAGAGGAGCTATTTCTGCTGAAACCACAATAAAGAGAGATGCTTTTCCTGCCACAATACTCAAGCAGTGCTTGGCAGTTACAACAGCTTTATGCAAAAAAAAAAGCTTTGACACCCTAATATCAGATACTTTAAAACAGCTTGGTGAGAGTAGATGCACAGAAGAGGTGTTGACAAGGAGAAGAACCTAATGACCAAATGTAGCTTCCTCTTCTCCAAGACTGATGGGTGATTAGTAATGACAGAAACCTCAGGCCTGTTTCCAAGGTACTAGGGTGAGTCTCCATACCTTGAGGAATAGGCTGACTGTTCAGATGGAGAAAGGATGCCCATGTGTGAGTGTGAGAAACGTGGCTAGAGCCTAAGCCCAGGTTCCAGCCACTCTAATAACAAATCTCAGAACTACCTTCTTGGTCTCCACAATTGTTCATCTGTAAAGTGGGTTTGGCTGCTCAGACATTTCCTGAGGACCTACAGTGTACTGCTAGCCTCTGCCCTTCAAATGTTTACAACCCCATTCTTTGAGTTGGTCTATACCAACCCTTTGAGTTACATTTTTGAGAGAAAGACCATCTACCAGGCATGTGTAGGCAGCTGTTCCATGGTCTAAGGAAGGGCACAGTCGTGGAAAGAGCCCTGAACTTGGCACTAGAATACCTGATTTCCAGTGCCCAGTCTAACCAGTTCTTAGTTATGTAACTTCTGACACAACATCAATTACTCAGAGTCCCAAATCCCTCATATGTAACTGGATGACTTACTCCTACCTCACTAGGTTATCATAAGGATTAAATCAGCTATTTGTTGTTGCGATTCCGTGCTTCACTGGCACCTAGTAGTTGGTCATTCGGTGAGAACCGAATTGGAACTTTTCTATGCAGCTAGCCCTATTCTCCCTAGTTCCACCCCGGGGAAGTGAACAGTTGCTGGCCATGGGGAAATGTTCTGTGCAACTGGTAAGTTTCCAACATCAAGCCACATACTTGCCATTCCCACACAACTCAACGCATGCTCAACTCAAAGAGCACAACTCAACGCATGCTCACAGCTATGTAAAAGTACCATATTATTTCATTGTTTCAGTCTCATTTTTTTATTTGTATCAAAGGGGACCCAGTGACCTTGAGGTAAAGAAGTCAAGCTATGAGGCAAAGAGGCAGGTCTCAAGGGATAAGTTAACGATCATTGATTTATGTGAGGGGGACAGAACTCGAATTTCTGGTCCTATGTCCTATCAAGAAAACTAAGTAGGAGCATGTTCAAGAATGTCTTTACTGGCTCTTTCTTGAATATTTCCAAAGTGTTATGAAGTTACAAGTGTTGAGCATGATGTAAGGAAAAGCGAAGCAGAGGGATGCGGTCAAAGATCCCTCTCACCCTCTACTCATCCATTTCTCCGTCTTTCCCTCTTTGTTCATAGTTGACCACAGCATGTTTGAGAATTTGAACACAGCACTCACTCCAAAGCTGCAGTCGAGCCGCTCCTTTCCCCACTTGTCCAGGTCTACAGCTCCCAGCTCTGCCACCCTAGGGCCTGGGGAGCCTGGTGGGCCAGGGCTCTGGGTGGGCAGCAGCCAGCATCTCAAGAACCTAGGCAAAGCCATGGGGGCTAAAGTCAACGACTTTCTCCGGAGAAAAGAGCCCTCAAGCCTTGGTGGTGTGGGAGTGATGGAGATCAACAAGACTGTGGGTGCTGAACTGGCAAGTGGAGTTGACGTGACATCGGGGGCCTGGCTGGAGGATGAGCGGTGAGTGTACACATCCCATTGGTATTCCTGCAACTTTCCTGCTGAGGTACCTCTGTCAGAGGTCTCCAGAGAAAAGTAACCCTGGAGAACGGGTACAGAAATGTCATATAAAAAGTAGTTGAAGGAATGGGTAATGTTCATGGGTATTAGCTCCAACCTTTTTAGCCATAGCTGACATTCATCATGCCTCTGTTACATCCTTAGAACCATGCTACATAACTTCAGTTGCATTATTTGACCTAATCCGTCTAACACCCCTATGAGATGGTGGTGGTTACGTGCCATGGAGTCAGTTCTAACTCATAGCAACCCTGTATAAGGTTTCCAAGGCTGTAAATCTTTATAGGAGCCGAAAGTCTCATCTTGCTCCCATGGAATGGCTGATAGTTTCGAACTGCTGACCTTGAGGTTAGTGACCCGACTCATAAACACTACGCTACTAGAGCTCCTTTCCCTTTGAGGTGTAGAGTATACTATTTCCACTTCGCAGATCATTTAAGTTCAGAGAGGTAAAGTAAGTTTCTGAAGTCTCCAATGTTAGTAATTGGCAGGACTGGGATCAAACCCAGGTTTGTTTTAGAGTTGATGTCTGAATCCCAGGACTGCTTTGTACAAGAAAGATTAACCTGATTCAGGTGGCCCAGAGTCTAAACCTGAATCAGAGGGGGTGAATCTGGAAAGAAGAAGCCAGTTTTAGCCCAGCATAAGGAACTTCTTCCAAAGATGAGAGCTGCTAAAAGATGGAATCATGAAGAGGAAGTGAGTTTCCTAGCCTTGAGCCTGTTTGAGAGGGTCCATGTATGTGTGGCAAAGAGCCAGCAGTGAGAGTTGGGGTTTAGGTAGAAAGTTAGACTAGCTGCCCTGTAACATGCTGAGATTGGTGATTATGACCCTCAAGTGTAGGGAACCAAACTAGAAAATCACACAAACATCTCCTTTAGAGACAGCCATGATGAAAGTGGGATTCGGGGGAGATAAGGAAGAACTTCTACACTGTCAGGCTCTCATAAACACACTTTGTATAGAAGGGTAGATCAAGAAGTTGTACTGCAAAATTATAGAAAGTATTAAACAAAAATACCAAAATATGAAGCTCAACATAGCCTCCATCTAGGTCTCTACACTTCTAAAAGTCATGCTTCCATCTCTGAAACCTTTCCTTGGAGTCCTGGTATGGTGCTGTAGGATAAGCACTGGACTGTAAGTTTGGTTTGAACTACAAAGTAGGCAGTTCAAACTCACCAGTCGCTCCTCAGAAACCCTATACAGGGTTGCTATGAATCAGAACCACCTTGATGGCACTTACCAACAACCTTTCCTTGAAGAATTCTGCACTCTTTGATTTATGCCGTGTTAAAATGGCATTTTTTGGTATCCCTGAGGCACTCAAAACATGTTTCTTTTGAAAGTTCCTTGAGTTTGGGCAACAACAAGAAGTCTGAGGGTGCAAGATCAGGGCTGTAGGGTGGATGGAATAAGGTTTCCCGAGGAAATTGGCTTAGGGCAGTCCTTGCTACCCTCAAAGAATAAACAGGTGCGTTGTTGTGATGGAAAAGAAATTCATCAGTGCAATTTTTCTGACCGTCTTCTCACCAATGCAGTTTTCAGTTTTCTTAAAACTTCTTCTTCTTAAGCCCCTGTGATCATCCTGTGTCCTCTGAGAAAATCTATCAATATTATCCCCTGTTGTTGTTAAGTGCTGTTGAGTTGGTTCCAACTCATAGCAACCCTATATAGGGTTTCCCAGGAGCATGAACTATTGTGAGTTTGAATCACTGACCTTGCAGTTAGCAGTCCAGTGCTTATCCTACAGCCATGCCAGGACTTCTTTTGGAATCCCAAAAAAACAGTTGCCATCATTTTCTGAGCTGACCTCTCTGCCATGAATTTAGCTGGTCAAGCAGATCCCCTCAGAAACCACCATTTTGATTGGACCTGTTTTTAAAGGTAGAAGACAAGAGGAGGATAATGCACTGACTGCAAGGTCAGTTTGAGCTGCAAGGTCAACGGTTCAAACCCATCAGCAGCTCCTCAGAAACCCTATACAGGGTCGCTATGAATCGGAACTGACTCGACGACACTTAATGACGACAACAACAACAACAAGACAAGTGTATCACTGAGAGAACTTGTCTGCAGCCATCCACTAATTGCAGGGACATGTTTAAACATTTTATTTGGAATAAATACACACATATATGAACTGGAGCCCCAGTAGCAATACTTACTTACCCTCATATGATAAAATTTACAACCCTGAAGTTTTCAGAAGGAGTCCTGGGGTGCAGTGGTTAAGCACTCAGCTGCTACCAAAAAGTCAGCAGTTCTAACCCACTAGCTGGAGAAAGATGTGACAATCTAATCCTATAGATTATAGCTAGGAAATCTTATGGGGCAGTTAGTTCTATGTTTTCTATTCAAAGGCTTAGAATAAACTGGAAGTATATCCTCAGTTGTTCATCAGAAACAGAAATGGGCATTAACCATATGGATCCTTTGGCCTCAGGAACTGCCTAGGCAGAAGCAATAGAGCCCGATGATGATTAAGGCTCCACTAGACGCAGAGCCAATTGTGGTCCTCACCCTTAACCCTGCAGGCAGCCACCCCGTCACTGAGCTCTAAGGACTAGTATGATCTGAGATACGCCAGCCAGTGACAATAAACCTCTAGTCCACAGCTCATAGCTTCAGCTAGATCTCCAAGCTACCACAATAGTGTTGTCTGTCTAATGCCACTCTGTGCTAGAATCACCTCAAGAAACTTTAAAATTACAGATGCTTGGTTCCGTAGTGAGTCAGCATCACTGGGTACCACTCAGAACCTCCCCAGGTAGATTTGATGCACAGCTATACCCAAGAACCACTGTCCTAGCCTGTTGATAGTGGAGAACCTGTGCTTTTGAGGTGGTGATGTCCTCCAAAGTCATGTTGCATAGGTTCTGACATTCTAGAAATACCATCCCGAAAGGGAGTCTTGGTGTGGTGCTGTAGGTTAAGCACACTGGACCAAAAGGTCTGTTTGAACTGCAAGGTCAGCAGTTTGAATTCACGAACCACTCTTTGGAAACCCTATACAGGGCCACTATGAGCCAGAACTGACTCAACAGCATTTAACAACACAACAAGGGCATGCCCTCATTTCTGATCTGATACAGTTCACTGGTGGTTGTTATCCTGCCTCCCATGAACACTGAGTGAAGCTGTACAAGACCAGCAGCCTGTAGTTGTGCTCAGGTTGCTAAGATCTACACACTAAACTGAGAAAAAGAACCCAAAGAACTGCAACTCACTAGGTGGGCAAGTTGAAAGTACGGGTGGAGAAGTGGAAATGCAAGGTGGATGGGTTTCTCACCACCCTTAAAAGTATCTTTTCTTATTGTCATCAACCTTATAGGTCAGTTCTGCAAGAAGCATTCCCACGACTGGATCCTCCACCGCCCATAACCAAAAAGCGTACCCCTAGGGCCCTGAAGACCACCCAGGACATGCTGATATCATCGCAGCCTGTCCTGAGTAATCTGGAGTACAGCACCGAGCTGTCATCTGGGCAGCCCCAGGACACCTCCCCCACTGCACTTGCTCCCAGAGAGTCTATTCCAGCAGACATATCCCAGCCAGAAGCCACCATGGAAATGGCAGAGAAGGATAAAGCACTGCCTAATGGAGAAGTGTCCCTGTCAGTTCCTGACCTAATCAACAAGGACAGCCAGGGTGAATCCAAGTTGAAGATGACTGAGCGGAGAAGGGCCTCCTCGCCTGGCCTCATGGAGAGAAATGGCCTCAAACTCAGTCTGAGCCCCATCAGCCTTGCTGAGCCCTCAGAAGATGGCAGCCCCCCTCCCAGGGCACGGACTTCTAGCCTTGACAATGAAGGCCCCCACCCAGACCTGCTGTCCTTTGAGTAGAGCCTTCTGTCTTCCCGGCTACATGCCACTCCCCCTCTCCTCCTCTGCTTACTTCTCCACTGTGCACAGAGCCCTTCCCCCAGCTCCGGTGGCCCCTTCATCTTCCTGGCAGAGAGCTGCTTCTCCCATCACCTGGGAGGTTACAGAGCGAGTCTCTGGAATGGCAAAAGGGCTCGCTCAGGTACCATCCCTGATCTTGATTTTCCGTAAATTTCTCTGGGTGCTGGCTGCTTGGATACCAGAGTTGCTCTGCTCCCAAGTTTGTTGTGGTTTCCAGGGCCACTAGTCCAAGATGCTATCTACATCTTGCAGGAGTTGGCTTTGTCTGTCTTCCAAATGTTGCCTCCTCTTCCCTCTAGCCTCTCCTTCCTTCCCTCCTCTCCTTGATGGCCCATAGGCTCTCTGCCTGGAATGATGGGTAAGGCTTGATGATGCTCCATGACTGAAAGCTACACCCCTGACCCCACTGGGCCCAGTCATGGCTCCTCTTGATCCAAATACAGCAATTTGCCTCTCCCAGTGGGTAGGGTCCAGAGGAGATGCTTACCAGGTCTGAGACCCAGAGGCAGCCTTGTTGCTTGTCACCTGGGGTCCTCTAGGTGTTGCCCTCTAGTTAGATGTAGAACACAAAGAGAGCACCGAGGCTGCCACTGACTTTGAGAGAGCCATGTGGAAAGGGGATACTGCCAGCTGTGCTTGAGTCCCCTATACAGACACCAAGACCTGGACTTCCATTATTGTGTGAAGGCAGGGCTAGGCAGGCCCTGATAACAACAGTAGAACATAGTCTGGTTTTGTTTAGTGTGGACCCAAGAAGGTGGTTTTGGTATCCAGGGAAGCTGGTCCTAGTAGAGCGTAGAGCAGAAGTAGTGGAGAAGTGAAGACAGGATGAGAGACGAGCAGCTGCCGGAGATCAGAGCTGGTTTTCAGCTGCACACCCCCCCCCCCACACCAGCCTGAAATGATGCAATTCCAGGGGCCCAGCACAGGCAATGTGACAGTCAGAGAAACCTGGCAGAGACTGGAATGTGGTAAGAACTGTAGAGGAAATCTGCTTTTAATTAAATAGGAGGTGCTTTCCTCTTATGAGCCTCTGGCCTGCCTTTCGCTGACTCTAATGCCCCCATGGTCCCTGTCTATTTCTGCCTTCAGGATCCACGTTCTTTCATCCCTACCGGGTGGCTGCCCTCCTGGGTAAACCTGGTTTTTTCTGTTCCTGTCTCTCAGCAGGGGCCCTGTCATGCTGTCTTCCTGTGGCCAAGAGACCCTATAAAGGAGTGACCCCAGCCCTGGAGGCCTTTGCAGCGAGAAGAGAACATCCCCATTCTTGAACAAGGTGGCCAGTTCCCCAAGAGAAGCCTGGAGAAGGCTAGCTAGTCAGGACAGGTTAACTTCTTCTTGGGATTCCTACTGCCTCTCCTTTCCTGCTCACTGACCTTCTCACCAAGATCCCAGAGCTCACTGCGCAGCTCATCTCCTCACCAAACCCCTGCTTCCCTCCCACCACAGCTGCGATACTGAGTATCTGAAGTAACTCCTCTAGAACCCGAGCTGCAGAGGCTTATGCGCAAGTATGGGCTGCCTTCCTGCAGTCGTGCTTCTGTGCACACATGACCTGTCACAGTCCTCCCACCCTTTTTCTTCTGTGTCTTCCACTACCCAAAAGCAATGCTTGACCACATGCTCACAGTAAAGCTTTGCCTCCCCTTCACCATAAGGGCCTGAGCTCGTGCCAGGCAATGGCAGGCCCTGGTGAAATGTGCAGGGCTGCTACTGATGGCGTGCATCCTCTCTTACGATGTGCTACGTGACCTGAGTGGTCAGAGACGCTCTCTTCTCTGTAAACAGTGCCTTTGGGGAGTCCAATAAACACAATTGCTGGGTAATGAGAAATGAAGGACCAACCTATCTCTACATAAGGAAGTTGGGGGGAGGGAGGCGGAGGGGAGGAGTTACAGAGTCTTTTCTCTCTCTGTTACTCCCCTAACCTTACACTATACATATATTCAGCACATAGCTTTATCCAGATAGACCATAAGCTAAGCTTCTAGAACCTGGCAGAAGGATAGTGTATTCTCTGCACAGAGAGAGATGTACCTGTGAATGTTATGTGTGTGGATGATATGAAGACAGACATGCAACCCACTGATTGTTGAACAAAGAACTTGGCCCCAGTTTGGGGGAGGAAGATTACAAATGGATTCTGAGTATTTTCTAGAGATTTTATATTTATATTTTTAGTAATTTTCTGATAGGAAACCACACAATAAAATGATTTGGTTTGGTTTGCTTGTTTTGTTTTCTTCTCCCAACTGTTAAGGAGTAGTTGGATTTCTTGTCTGGTGGTAAGCATTGGCAGTCTGTTCCTGTGAGCCTGGGAGAAGGAAATGAAGGCAACAGCATATGTAAGGAAGAGGGGTACTCAACCTAAGACCTTGGATACAAATTATCTTTCTGGATATTGTGTCATTGTTCCCCTAATTGGTAGCTGTGAAAGTGAACTTCATCTTCCAACCCAGACTCATTGTCCTTCCAGCGACAATGTAATATGGATGCAAGTGTCCAGGGGATTTTGTTGTAAACCACTGGTTCTTAACCTTGCATCCCTAGTCATTTTACACCAAATTTGGCATGGAGCTGTGTGTGTGCACGTACATGCTTCTATCACATTCTCAAAAGGAGTAATCACCAGTTGTTGTTAGGTGCCATCAAGTCAGTTCCGACTCATAACAAGCCTATATGCACAACAGAACAAAACACTGCCCAGTCCTGTGCCACCCTCGCAATTGTGGCACTTGAGCTCATTGCTGCTGCCATCATGTTGGGGGTTTTCCTCTTTTTCTGCTGACCCTCCACTTTACCAACCATGATGTCCTCCAGGAACTAGTCCCTCCTGATAAAATGTTCGAAGTATAAGAGACAAAGTCTCACATCCTGGTTCCCAAGGAGGATTCTGGCTGTACTACTTTCAATACAACTCTTCTACAGTCTTCCTAATTAATTATTCAATTCTCACATGCTTATGAGGCAATTGAAAACATCACGACTTGGGTCAGGTGCTCTTTAGTCCTTAAACTGATATCTTTGCTCTTGAATACTTTGAAGAGGTCTTATGCAGCAGATTTGCCTAATGTAGTATGTCATTTACTTTTTGGCTGCTGCTCCCATGCGTATTGATTGTGGATCCAAGCAAAATTAAGTCTTTTGACAACTTCAATCTTTTCTCCATTTATCATGATGTTATTTAGTAGAGTCCTGGTGTGGCTCTGGAGGTTAATGCACTAGACTGCAAAGCCATTTGAACTGCAGGGTCAGTGGTTCAAGCTCACTAGCTGCTCCTTGGAAACCCTATACAGAGTGGCTATGGGTTGGAACCTACTCAATGGCACTTCACAACAACAACAGTTGTGAGGATTTTTGCTTTACATTGAGGTTAATTCATACTGAAAGCTGTAGTCTCTGGTCTTCATCAGTAAGTATTTTAAGCTCTCTTTGCTTCCAGTAAGCAAGGTTATATCATCTGCATATCGCAGGTTGTTAATTTGTTTTCCTCCAATTCTGATGCATGTTGTTCTTCATATAATCAGTACAGTTTCTCATTATTTGCTCAGCAAACAGATTGAATAAGTATGGTGAAAGAATACAACCCTGACACACACCCTTCCTAATTTTAAACCATCTGGTATCCCCTTTTTCTGTTCTAATGACTGCTTCTTGGTCCATGTACAGATTCCTCATGAGCACAGTCCTGGACTATCCATTCTTCACAATATTAATCCACAGCTTGTCATGATCTGCATAGCTGAAAGTCTTTGCATACGTCAATAAAGCACAAGTAAACATCTTTCTGGTATTCTCAACTTTCATTCAAGATCCACCTAACATTTATGTACTGTTACAGCCATTTTTCAATTCTCTGCAGCAAAATTTTACTTCCATGTGATGCTAGTAATATTGTTCATTGATGTCTGCATTCCTTTGGGTCACTCTCTGGAATGGACATAAATATGGATCTCTTCCAATTGGATGGCTAGGTAACCGTCATAAATTTGCTGGCCTAGATGAATTAGTCCTCATGAATTAGATGAATTAGTCCTGGCCTAGATGAATTAGTCATCAGTTTCTTGAAAGATTTCGATTTGTATTCCATCAATTCCTGGAGCCTTGCTCATCAATGCCTTCAGTGCAGCTTGGACTTCTTCCTTCAGTATGAATGGTTCTTGATCATATACTATCTCTTGAAATCGTTGAACATCAACCATTTCTTTTTGACACAGTGACTCTGTATACCTTCTGTCTTCTTTTGATACTTTCTGTATCACTCAGTTGCTAGGTGCAGTAGAGTCAGTTCCAACTCGTAGCTACTCTGTATAAAGTTTCCAAGGAGCAGTTGGGGGTGGGGGTGGGGGGTTGAACCACCAACCTTGTAGTTAGCAGTCTAGTGCTTATTGTATAGTACCATACCAGGACTCCATTTTGCCCATAGAATCCTTCAATATTACAAGTCAAGGCTTGGATTTTCTTCATTTCTTTCAGTTTGAGAAATGCTGAGCATGTTCTTCCCTTTTGCTTTTCTTCTAACTCCAGGTCTTTGAACGTTTTATTATCATACTTGACTTTGTCTTCTCAAGCTGCCCTTTGAAATTTTCTGTTCAGCTCTTTTCCATCTCATTTCTTCCATTGGCTTTAGCATCTCTATACTAGAGAGCAAGTTTCAGGATCTCTTCTGACATCCATTTTGGTCTTTTCTTTCTGTCCTGTCTTTTTAATGACCTTTTGCTTTCTTCATGGATGATGTTCCTAATGTCATCCCACATCTCTTCTGGTCTTCAATCACTAGTATTTAATACATCAAATCTGTCCTTGAGGTGGTCTCTAAATTCAGGTGGAATATATTCAAAGCCATATTTTAGCTCTCATGAACTTGTTTTAATTTTCTTCAGCTTCAGCCTGAACTTGCATATGAACCATTGATGATCTGTCCCTGGTCTTGGTTTGGC